TAAATAATAAATAACATTTGCATAGTTCATAACCTTATTTGATTTCATTTTGTTCCATGAAATTCTCAACAGTCTCCTTATGAAGCATAATAAAGTCTGTTGCCTTCAGTTCATTTTCACTATCTTTAGTATTCATTCCCGTATAGCAGAGCTGCCAACACATAATCTTTTAAACACATTATGTTTTAGAGGTACATATCATTATAAACGATCCATCATACTCATTTTCCACGCAACTTGTAAGATCACACAGTGGCAGATATGTACCTCTAAAAACAAAGAAAGAAAGATATAAAAGAAGTATTTTTACTGTCAAGCATAAGGCTATTGTCAGAATAAACATCAATGTTTATTGCTCTTTCGAATATGTATCTATATAACTCAAAGGTCTTATATAATCCAATTCCTGCACGTTGTTGAATGATGCATTTGATGTGTTAAGTACATTTTGTCAGCTTTACTTCTCTTTTCATATTGAATTTTAATGAGTGTAACATATCACCTAGATTGTTATGTATACCTGCATGTGTTTTTACGGTCCTGTACAGCCAAGAAAAATTTCCCTCTGGGATAATAAGTATTATATTATCTTATGTATCTTATCTTAAGATATTTCTATTTTTCGGGACTTTAGCCACCTTCAAGTAACGATGGGAATAATAATTAACGAGTTCAGTCAAAGAAAGGGCCTTAGAAACATGTTGCTAAAAAAAAGAATGCTAAGTATGACAACTCACGCCACGGCAGACTATACTATATAGAATGTGAATGAATGACTGGGTGACTTTACTTTAAATCAGTTATGGCCTTTACAAAATATTACCCAGGCTCCGTAATAGAGTTATTCATCATCATCATCATCATCATCATCATCATCATCATCATCATCATCATCATCGTCGTCGTCATCATCATCGTCATCATCATCACCTTCACCATCATCATCATCACTTCATCACCACCGCCACCATTAGTATACCAGGAAAAAATCTCTTATTCTCCTGCGATCCTTCTGTTTATTTATCTAAACAACCTAATCATAACCCCCACATTAACTCATTTTACTCGACACCAAATCAGAACGCGGGACGGAATGAATGAATGAATGAATTTATTAATTAATTTATTTATCTATCTATCTCTCTCTATAAATATATACATATTTTTTGTTTGTAAAAATTGTTTTATTGTTTTATTTAT